ATACCTTCTTGGTGGGTGTCTGGCTGTTTTCAGGTTGGTTCTCCTTGCTCAGGAGGAAGCTGGCCACCTCCATCTGGGAAGCACTGCGATGGGGGATATATCGGTCACCTCCAGGTTTGCTAGGGGTGGTCTGAACCTTGGAATTAGATTTGCCTGGGGCAGGGAGAGAGAAGCCAGTCTGACCAGGTTCCCGAGGGAGGAAGCAGAAAGGCTGCTTGCTCTCAGTCGTCCTCCCACCGCCCCTCACTCACCAGGAGTTCGGCCTGGGGTCCTGCCCGCGCTGTGGGATCTGTTGGCCGCTCGCATAGGGGAGGGGCCCGGCCCCGAAGCTTCCTTGGCTTTGCGCTGCCAGCGCGCGAGGGGTGCATTGGGGATAGGCGCATCCAGCTGAAGCAGGGAATGCAGGTCACTCTCAAACACGAACTGCGCCATGGGAGCGTCTGGAGGGGGGATGGGGTCCTTGAGTTGTCGCCCGCTGAGCCCTGGAGGAAGAGAGATAATGGTGCTCGGGGACGGCACAGGGCTCCTTCGGGAACTGCCTCACAATGAGGGGCCTTTCGGCTGTAGCACCTCCAGGACTAGCGCTCCCAAGCCCCCCGACGAACCCCTAGGCTCAGCACAGCTGCTCCTCACAGCGCACTCCCAAGCAGGTTCCAATAGCGACCGGCTACAGCATGACAAGCTTGGGACTCTTATTAAACTATCCGCTCTGAGCGCTCATTGGCTTCTTCAAAACCCAACCGTCGCAACCGTCGCCTTCGCCCATTGGCCTTTACGGCAGAGGGGGCGGGTCTTCCGGGGCAAGTCACGGAGCTCACGAGAATACAATGGAGGCGTGGGATTTGAAGGTGGAGAGAGAGCACCGTGGCGGGTTCCCGGGAGTCGGAATCTGAAGGCTCAAGGGGTGGGGCCTGCGCTGCTAGTGCTTGTCCTGGGTGGTTCATGCCTGTGTCCCTTCACTCTGCAAGCTCGCAGAGACGGGCGCTGGCTATTAAGCCTGGGTGATGCAGAAGCGCAGAACTCGTTCAGTCAAAGCACTATAGCCGACCAGAGAAGGGACGGGAGAGCTGGCGGGCGACCGGCGGGCAGGGGTGGGCAGAGGGGACGAGGGTAAACGCTCGGGAGCAAGGAGAGAGCCAGAGCTGTTAGAGCGCGGCCGCCAGCCTGGAGCCGTGCTGGGAAGGAAGTGACACGTGTGTTTGTTTTGCTTCTTGCTGTTTTACAAACTGGGAAAATGGGGGGTGGGAGGTGGGGGGTGTCTTTTAAGATCAAGAAAGAGAATCAGGATTCAAATTCAAATCTGCCAATCTGGAAGATGAGGTTGGAATTCCCTATGGGAAACACTGTGGCTTACTCTCTTGGGGCGTGGTGTGTGTGTTTTATTTAGGGTCTCGCTGTGTAGTTCAGACTGGTCTCACTTGAACTCACTGTGTAGCCCAGGCTGGCCTCAAACTCATGGTTTACTGGCGTGCCCCACTACGCCCGGCTTCTCTTGGGCCATTAGAGTCGTCCGGGATTTTAGAGAACCGGGTTTACCTGTACCTAAGGGTGCACCCTCCCAAGAGGCACCACACCGGTATTTTACAGATGGAGAAACCAAGGCCCAGGGCAAGAATTGGTCAAAGGTCATACAAAGAACTTTGTAGGAATCCAGGTCTGACTCCCATTTAGTAATGCTCTTGACCAGGGCATGGTGGTGCTTGCCTGTAATTCCAGCACTTGGGAGGCAGAGGCAGGAGGATTGCTGTGAGTTTGAGACCAATTTGGCTACATATAGTTGAACACCCTGAATTAAGCCAAACCCTGCCTAAAAACAAAACAAAACTCTAATAGTGACTTGAATAAGTAATGTGAATATGTTCAGAAGTAAAGCAGCAATAATAAAAATAATGGGTATCGGGCCAGGGATTTAGCTCAGTGGTTCCAGTGCCTGCCTCGAAAGTGCGAGGTCCTGAGTTCAATCCCCGGTACCAAAAATAAATAAATAAATAGAAAAATAATGGGTACCATTTACCATTTATTGACCACCTACTAACTACTGTGTTAAAGCAGTTGACATACATTTTTTTTTTTCGTACTGGGAATTGAACTTAGGACCTTGAGCTTGCCAGGCAGGCACAGCCACTGAGCTAAGTTCCCAGTCATTTACATACATTTTAAAAATTCAGTTATTAAACCCATTTTTTTTAGACAGGGTCTTGCTATGTAGTTCAGGCTGGCCTTTAACTCACTATATATCCCATAGCCCAGGCTGGCCTCAAACTCATGGAGATCCTCCTGCTTCACCCTCCCAAGTGCTAGGAATACAGGTATGCACCATCATGCCTGGCTATATCTTCACTATGCTGTATACAAAAAGAAACTGGGTCAGGATGAAGATAGAAACTTGAGCAAAGTCTTTACAGCCCATAACAAGTAGCAGAGCCAGGATTCAAATATCTAACCTTTGCAAGCCCAACAATATGCTATACTGTTTAGGAGAGGTTGGAAAAACCTGGTGTTCAATCAGCCTCAGATCAATCCCAATGATGACAGAAAAAGTTGTGCCTCTAAGTCCAAACTTAATATCGGTCTTTATGACTTTTAAACTTTCATGCTTTTTGGAGACCGGAGTTCAATCCCCAGTACCTAAATAAATAAATAAATGAAATTTCATGCTTTCTATTTTCAGTTACCTTGGAAAACTATGATTTATATTGAATGTTAAAAGCCTTGTGGACTCATGGGTGGGGCTTTTGAGAGGCAACTGGATTATGGGTGTATAGTGCTCATCAGTGGATTAGCACACTGATGAGTTTATAGCTCACTGTGATTTGGGAGGTGAAGCCTGGTCAGAGGAGGTAGGTCACTGTGGGTGTGGCCTGGAAGGGTCTGACTCCTTCCCTTCTCCCTTGATCCCTCTCTGTGCTTCCTGATTACCCTGCCATGAGCAACCTCCTCTGCCATGCTGCCCTGCCTTGGAGCTATCGGACTATGGACTCTACAGAGTGTGAGCCAAAATAAACCTTTCCTCCTTTAATTTGGAGTTGTCAGGGTTTTGTTGTCATTGTTTTGTTTTGTTTTCTGAGACAGTCTTGCTGTGAAGTTCAGGCTGGCCTTGAAGTCACTGTGGAGCCAAGGCTGGCCTCCAACTCCCAGCAATCCTGCCTCCTGAGTGCTGGGATCACAGGAGTGCTTTGCTACCACACCTGACCAAGTGTCAGGTATTATGTCTCATTGATAAGAAAAGTAACTAAGACAGGGGGTTTGATGTCCAAGTGATATAACTGGGGAATTCCTGAACTGCAGAAAATTTAGAAAAGGTAGTATAGTATCAGGCTTAAATGTTTACCTAAGGAGTTTTTTTTTCTCCCCCTTTTTGGTACTAGGGATTACACTCAGGGGCACTCTACCACCCCAGCTCTATCTGCCTGTCTGTCTGTCTATCTATCTATCTATCTATCTGTCTATCTATCTATCTATCTGTCTGTCTGTCTGTCTATCATCTACCTATCATCTATGTATCTATTTTGAGACCTTACTAACTTGCTCAGGCTGGTTTTGAACTTGAGATCCTCCTGCCTCTGTCTCCCAAGTAGCTGAAATTACAGGTGTGCACCACTCATGCCTGGTTTAGGAGTTTGGATATTTATCTGCCAGGCACTGTAGAACCAATGGAGGTTTCTGTATAGGGAAGAGTCAAACAAATCATCAGAGGAAGGAGTGTGGCCAGCAATTTGCAACTTCAGGAGAAAGGGTAATTGTAGAGAAGAAGGATATCGGTACAACCTCAGGGAAACTGTACATATAAAAGTAAAGGAATGAAGGAAGTCATTGGAGATCATACAGACATGGGCCTTAAAAATAAAGTAATACATTGTACATAATACGGTATAGAATGGTGAGGAAGATGACAGAAAAGGTCAGATTTGGCCATTGGGAAACAATCCTTGATGACTTTGGGGACAGCAGGATCAGGAAAGTGGGTGCTAATGATCATTTAAAAGGGGCTGCAAAAAGAATAGTTTAGGGAGAAGGTGGCATCCACAGCACAAGCAACTTGTATAACCCAGCCTCTGATCTCTATTAGTTTGGGAGACTTGTTATAATGAAGTACCACAAACGGGGTGTCTTAAAAGACAAAAATGTACTGTCTCACAGTTTTGGAGGCAAGAAGTGCCGGCAGGGTTGGTTCCTTCTTATGGCTGTGAGAAGAATCTGTTCTGTGCCTCTCCTCTAGCTTCTGGTGATTTGTTAACAATCTTTGGTGTTCCTTGGCTTGTAGAAGTATTGCCCTGATCTCTGCCTTTTCCTTCACTTGACCTTCTCCTTGTGCCTCTTCTCCTAGATATGTGCCCAAATTTTCCCTTTTTTGCCGGGTGGGGGTTAGAATCTCACTATGTAGTTCAGGTTGGTCTTGAACTTGTGGTGACCCTCCTGCCTCAGCCTCTTGAGTCCTGGGATTACAGGTGTGTGCCACCATGCCTTGCTTACAAATTTTCCTTTTTGTAAGAATATCAATCACATTGGATTAAGGCCCATGACCTCATCTTAACTAATTATATATCCAGTGACCCTGTTTCTCACATTTGAGATACTGGGAATTAAGACTTTAGCATTTGAATTTTTAGGGTCACACAATTTAAACCATAATATCCTCGCATTGGTGGAACCTAAAAAGAAACCAGAGCCCAAGGAAATCCACTGATGCAGGCCATATGAAGCAGCCTTGGCAGAGGATGGGCAGGGCAGATGGATGACATACAACATCCATACTCCCCATCTCCCTGTCATGTTAAAAGCTCCAACTCTTCTCTTAGGGACCAAAGGCTAGGGTAGGAGGAGAATGAGCTTGAGATGTTTACTGCCCTGCCTTCCCTGCCACTACCCAAGGTTGGCTGCAACCCTCTACCAAAGGCCACATTTCCTGCGAGGCAGTCCTGTTTTGTTTTCTTTTAAGACAGGCTCTTGCTATGAAATCACTATGTAGCCCAGGGTGGCCTTGGAACTCACAGCAATCCTCCTGCCTCTCAGCCTCCCAAGTGCTGAGATTACAGGTGTGCACTACCATGCCACCTGGCAGCTTTCTCTTATAGGACTCTCCAGCTCTGGTAACTACTCCCTCTTTTTAACCCCCTTGACTGGTGCCAGCTCCTTGGTGGTGTTAGCGTTGGGGTACTGCACTGTTCCTTGATGGTTTTCCCAAATCTTGCCCTCACCTTTGTTGATATGCCCTTCATTAAACTCTCACCAAATTACCCAGTTTGAGTGCTATGTATTTCTGCTAAGACTTTAATACAGTGGGTATGTCTGGAACAAGTAGAAAACAAACAAAAGTATTTATTTGAAAATTTGAATGAGGGAGGGGAATCCATAACCAGAGTGATTTAAGCACATTTACTGTTGCACATGAATGGCTTAGAGCATGAGGGAAGTTGGCATGGGGTTAAGGTAATATTTTCCAGGAAGATTTCGTGCATTTAGAAAACTTTTATTGAAGGCCTACTATCATACACCAAGCAATATATGAGGTCAGTGGTGGTGAACCTATGGAAAGCTTGCCGCATTGTTCATATCATTGAATGCTCTAAAAGGTTCACCATCACTGTTCTAGGTGCTAGAGAACAAAGGACAAATAAGTCATGGCTCTTGCCCTCAAGGAGCTCACACTCTAGTAGCAGGAGACAGACATGTAAACAGTTATTTGTATAAAACATCACAGATGCTGTAGTTAATCTGAGCTGGAGTTTAAGAGCTTTGGAATGGCCAACACATAGTAAAGACAATGAGAAAAGATGGGATTGAGATTGTATTAAGAATGGAGTAAAAAAAAAAGAATGGAGTCTTCAGGCCAGGGAGTTATCTCAGTGGCACCACGCCTGCCTCACAAACACCAGGTCCTGAGTTGATCCCCGTAACAAAAAACAAACAAAAAAAAGAATGGAGTCTTAGACTTGAGGATGTAGCTAAGCATCAAGCATGTGCCTAGCATGTGTGAAGTCCTAAGTTTGAACTCCAGTATTGTCAAAAAAAAAAAAAAGGAAGCATAAGGGACTGCAATAATTAAGGCTAGGAAAAAATGCTAGAATACAAGATTAAGAAGGAATAATTACAATAGTAGTTCAGATATATTAAGTATTTACCATTTCTTAGGGTGCTTTAGATGATCTCACTTAATATTTTTCACAACTCTCTGAGGGACTGTTATTGTCTCTGTTTTATACATGAGAAACTAAGGCTCAAAGGCATTCAGTTATTTGCCTGAGGTTGCACAGGTATCAAGTATGAAAGACAGGAATTGAACCCAGCACTGACTCCAGATTTATTCTTTTCACTTCCAGTATATTCAGAAAGACAGGTGTAAAACTAGGAGAGAAGCTGACACTAAGGAAGCCAAAGTGGAAGAGAATTTAAAGGAGAAACGAGGAATCAACCATGACAAATGCCACAGAGGGATCAAATAAACTGATGATTAACAAGATCCTATTAAACGTTGTAACTAGAGGATTTGAAAGGAACTCTGCCTGGGCAGTTTCATTAGAAAAGTGGGAGGAGTGGAACTAACTGAAGTCTCTGAAGAATCAGTAGGAAAGTGGGGACTTCTTTTCAAGGAGTTTGGCATTCAAGAGGGGAAAGAAAGAGGGTGAAAGTCAGAGGACCTTAGTCAAAGGAGCCTGCCTCTGGAGAAAGAGGCCTGGGCTTGTCAACAGCAGTATGGAAAGATCAGTGCTAAGAAGCCCAGCCCGGCTGGTAGACGGAGGGATGGAGGTGAAGTCTGAGGTGTGGTGTTGGGTATAGGTTAGGGGCAGTTTGTAGAGAAGTCTAGATCTGTCCAGGGTCCTGGAGGGAGAGGCTCGTCTTCAGGGTTGCTGCCAACAACTTAATGGTAGGTAGGAATGGTTGGCAATGTGTGTAGTACAGCAGGACCCTGACTCAGCCATGGATGGGCACACAGACAGGGGCATGGCCCCCAGGCAGGAAGGCTGCAATCCTCGGTAGTCCATCTGGGCCTGGGAGGAACATAGGGGCAAGGGGGTCCTCTCTGAGGATTTAGGTAGGATCTCGAGCAGGCTGGGTTCCACTTCTTCATAGGTATCTGTGATTGTGGCCTTGGGCTGGGAGAGATGGGTGAAAGGAGCTGGATTAGAGTAGATCCTGGTGTAGTAAAGCAAGTTGGGGTGGGGGCAGTGCCTGGGGATGGTACACTGCAAGGCCATGACCTTGAACAAGTTCCCTTGAGGGGACAAGGAATGGGAGGAGAGTGCACTTACAATACTCAGGGCTGCAGTGTCTCTAAGGTACTGGCCTAGGACCCGGTGCAGGTCTGGAAGTGAGGGCCACAGAGCGTGCCTCAGTCTCCTAGGGGAGAGGCAGGAGAAGATGACTGAGTCATGGGAGTGAGCTGGGAGGGATGAGGAGAGGACTGAAGTGGAGAAGTGGTGGAGGCAGTGAGGCTGAGGAGTAAGTCTTGAGGGATGGAGCACAGTTAAGGCTGTAAAGTAAGGTAGAGGAGCAGAGGAGAGAAGAAAATCTTGTTGGGGAGGGAAGTCAGTGGTGGGGAGCTTCACAAAGGGTAGTGCAGAACTTCCTCAAACATTCCTGTTTCAAACATTCCTTGCACTTGGTGTTCTCTCTGCCTGGAAACTCAATTCATTCCCTCACTTCCTTTAGGGACTTTCTTTTTTCTTTTCTTTTTTTTTTTTTTTTGGTAACAGCGATCAAACTCGGGACCTTGTGCGTGCAAGGCAGGCACCCGAACCACTGAGCTAAATCTCCGGCCCCTTCACTTCATTTAGGTCTCTGCTCAAATGTCACCCTGCCAGAGACACCTTCCCTGATTACGATGCCTAAAATTATATCATCACCCTTGCCCATCATTCCATTTCTTGCTATACTTTTCTGTATAGCACTTGACTTACTGTATATTTATTTTATTGTTACATATATTTGTTTTTGTGTGCCTCTCCCCACTACAGTATAAGCTCCTTGAGAGCAGTTGGTATATTTTTTCATTCCTGTATCTCCAGTGTCGGCCCACCTTAGGTGTTCAAGAAGAGAACCAGAGAAGCTTATTACTGAGTTACTGGGGAGTTAGTTTACTCCTCTTCCACAACCTTACTCCTGTTTCCCTAAGGGCAGAAGAGGGACTTATCTGGTTGGGGAAAAGGAATAGAGTATGCCTGATTCAGCAGCATCTCCTCCCTCTTCTTCTCTAACTTTTTTGGTCAGATCTGGCTATCTTCATAGAAGCTACATTCCACAGGCTCTTACACATAGGCAGATTAAAAGTTAAGAGAGTGGCATGTTCAAGGAGAAATAAGAGCCCACAAGAGGGGCACCTGACCCAGCCTAGGACCATCAAAACACAGTGCCTGGCAGAACTGACTTCTGAGCTAAGTCTTCTAGAATCAGCAGGTATTACTAATTGAAGAACTGAGGTGGTATGGATTCTATCTTTCTTTCATGTTTATAACTACCATGACATTTCTCCTCAGCCCCCACATACATGAGTCATTCATTACTAACATTTATTTAAGGCCTTGCTACTTGGCAGGCACTGTGCAAAGAACTTAAAAATGACCAAGTAAGGTACAATGAGAAAGATATGTAAAGAACTAAATACAGGATTGGGGGTGTAGCTCGGTAGTAGAGGGGGTGCTTACTATGCACAAGGTCCTGGGTTCAATGTGCAGCACCAAAAAGAAAAAGAGAAAGAAAAAGAAATGCAGTAAAACACTATGATACTATATTGGGACACAGAAAAGCAGCCAGTGAGGGAGGGTCAGGAAAGGTTTCCTAAGAGTTGGTGAAGAAAGTTATTTAAAGATGAATGGGTATTAGTCAGCCAGGGAGGATATTCCAGGCAGAGGGGACATTATGTGCAAAGGTGCTGAGAAGTCAGACAGCCTGACTTGTGGGGGAAATCCAGTTTGGCAAGGTTAATACACAGGGTAGAAGAAGGTGGAAGTGCTGGCAGCAAATTTGCAGTGTTACTTGTTATTCTACAGAGTCTGGACTCTATCCTGGGAGTTACTGAAGGGATTTAAGGAGGAGGAAGATGGGCTCCTGTATACATTTTAGGAAGATTATTCTGGTGGCTGTGTGAGGTTAGGTTGGAGGGAGAAGGGCCTCTGTTACAGGGACTTGGGTAGTCTGTGGGACTAGAGAAAGGGCCATTGTTTGGGCTAGGTTTAGGAGGTGGAATGACCAGACCTGAGGGCCAAGTGGATGGGGTGGGGGAGTCCTGGCCAGGGCCAAGCTCGGACAGTAGCCTCCTTACTGGAATGAATACCCAGGAGGTGGGGCTGTTTGATGAGACCATTATAGTGGGCATGTTGGAGTGTAAGGAGACAATATCAATCTGAGAGACATCCAGAAGCGGTTCAGGCCATAGGTGTAGGCATTTGGTGGTGCAGAGGGCAAATGTCATCAAGTGACCCTAGGATGTCTGTCTAGAGATCTCCGGTCCCACCGGGTCCACGCCCTGTCTCCCTCCTGGCTAGGGCGGTACCTGTAGTGCGCAGGAAACTGCCACCTCAGCAGCAGCAGGCCAAGAAGGGCGCTGAGGCCCAGCACCAGTAGCAGAACGGTCACCAAGGAGATCCAGGCTAGGGGACAAAAACTTTCAGACCTCAGCCGACCCTCGGCCCCGCCCGCAGACCCACCGGACCTTGCCCCGGCCCCGCCCCTACCACCCGGCCTCGCCTCTCGCCACCTCGGCCACGCCCCTGGGCGCCCAGGGTACCGACGATCTCACATCAACGCAGCCGCAGGCAGCGCGTTCGGGGCCCCGCCCCTCACCCGGAGCCCCGCCCCTCAGCAGCTGTGGGCCTGGCTAGTTCCCGCCTGGCCTCTCCTCACCCGGCTCCGAAGCTGTCTCCACCCACTCGGTCTCAGACCAAGCGCTCCAGGGGCCTTGGTAGGTGGGGCCGTTGAGCCTGGCGCGCAGCTGTAAACGGTAGCGAGATCGCGGGCGCAGCTCCAGGCTCCCTCCCTGGGCCCCGAGAGGCGGTTCCAGCACCTGCGCAGAGGAGAGGCGTGCGAGGGCCGGGCGTGGGCTCTCGGGAGCTCCGCCAACTTCGCACCGCTTGGAGTCCCCGGGCGCTGGGCCGGCAGAAACCTGCGGGCACCCTCACCAAGAGTCTCTCCCTGACGGGGTCTGGCCCTGCCTGTGAGACGCACCAGGGGACACACATCCTGGCACTCAGATCCCACTTTCACGGAGATCCTGACGCAAGCACCTGTGGGACACCCTTGACACCCCGAGTACCCGGGTACTCGGACACACTGACCACGACATGCTGGATGCGCTCACCAACATTCCTGAGTCACACTCAGATACTCAGGAAACACTCAGATCTCAGAGCCACACAGACCGTGCCACAAGCACTACTCCTGCCGCTGAAGGTGGCAGATTAGTGATAGGCCCTGGGGGTACAAGCGTCGTGTGCACGAGCGGGGAGACAGTTAATTACTTAGCAGACATTTATGATTGCTGGAGATACGCCAAACATTAGGCTAGGCACTGGAGAAAAAGATAAATCAAACAGTCTCACATATCTAATGAGGGAGACATCCAAACCAGTCAAGAATCACAATTGATTAGTCAGGGTACCATAGATGCACAAAGAAATATTTAAGGCTGCCTGAGCTACTTGATGGGGGTTACAACAAACGCATGGGAAGGCTGGATGTTCAAAGGGAAGTCTACGACAGTCCTAGTTGGGATTTGCAGAATGCTAGTACATTCTTCAACTTGATAAATAGGGGCAAGGGACAAGAAAAAGATTTAGGTACTGGGTAAGTGGTATCATCATTATCAGATACAGAGAAGAGAAAGTAAACTTGAAGAAGAAATATTGTATGGTTGTATTTTATTAAGTTTAACTACGGTCAAACGAACCAACAGTAATGTCAGGACAGTGATTACCTTTGGTGGGTAGGTAACTGTAGGGGCACAAGGAACTTTTTGGATGCTGGAAATTATTTGTATTTTGATCTTGGTAATGATTCCATATGTGTATCCACATATACAATTAGTTGTACATTGAAGGTTTATACACTTTATTGTATGTAAGCTTTACATCAGTAAAAACAAAATACATTCGGTGAGAAAGATGAGTTTAGTTTTGGATACACTGAGTTTGAACTGTTTGGGAATGAGGAGGCTTAGGTAGAGCTGCCTGACAAGAAGTTGTATATTAATGTGTTGAGAATAAAAGTAGACAAGTTAGGGTCGGGGATTTAGCTCAGTGGCACCGCACCTGCCTCGCAAGCGCAAGGTCCTGAGTTCGATCCCTGGTACCAAAAAAAACAAAAGTAGACAAGTTAATATTTAACTGTTGTATAAACCTTCTTCTTCTTTTTTTTTTTTTTTGATACCAGGGATTGAACTCGGGACCTTGTGCTTACAAGGCAGGCACCAGAACCCCTGAGCTAAATCCCCAGCCCTAAACCTTCTATAGGTAAGGAAAGGAGGGTGAGCTAGTCCAGTGTGAGGGGTAGGAAAAATATCAGGGAAGACTGATATTCCAAAGGCAAAGGGAAGAAAAAATTGTATGTAGGAGTAGCTAGTAGTGTCAGATCCTCAAGAAAGAGTAAGATACCAGCTGAATCAGATAAACATAGATAGGGGTCGGGGATGTAGCTCAGTGGCACAGCGTGAGGCCCTGAGTTTGATTCTTGGTACCAAAAAAGGAAAAAAAAGATAAACATATATATATATATATACAAGTTAGGCTTGGTGGTGCACACCGGTACTCCTGGCACTCTAGGAGCCTGAGGCAGGAAGATAACAAGTTAAAACCCAGCCTTGACAGCTTAGCAACTTAGCAAGACCCTGTCTAAAAATTTAAAAAAATAAAAAAAGGACTGGGGATGTAGCTGAGTGCAAGGGCTCTGGGTTGGACCTCCTGTACTGAAAAAACCAAAACCAAAACCAGATAAACATAGATATACAAGCCCAGGTATGGAAATACAGACACAGTTCCTCTAGCAAAAACCAGGAATATCCTCTGAGGATGTTTGTTGCCTGACCATACCTTCCAGTCCCGATGGCCTTCTCCCATGTACCGGAGCTGATAGCAGGTATCTTGGGCTGCCCAGGATGATGGTTGCTGCCACTCCAATGCCAGCTGCCCACTGGAGACCTCCCTCCAGTGCAGGTTTGGGGTGGGGATGAGCACTGTGGGGATTTCAGCAGGAACTGGTTTTCACCCTTGTGTGCATGAGGCATCATGCCACCAGGGCCACTGGTTAGAAGTGTCAGAGTTGGGGGATCATGGGTACAGATGGGTCAGAAGATTCACAGGGGGTGGGAACCATATGGAAAGAATGAGGGAAGAAGTTCTTACCGGCCTGGTGCATCCAGAAAGGGGAGCCCAGGTAGCTGTGAATAACACCGTGGGCTGTGGTCACTTCTACAAGGGTGTGAATAACACTGTCATTCTCTGACTTGAAGTGGCAGCGGGAGAGCTGAGGGAGCTGTAATCCTGGATTTGTTTTCTTGTCCTCTTCACACTTCTCCCAGATGGGCTCCCTAAGAACCAGCCCCATAAAGTCATGACTCGGGCCTGCCCCACAGACTAAATCCCGTCCTCCCCTTGGCACACAGACTATGGCCTGCAGGTCGTAGGCTAACTCCCTCCTTGGATGGAACTCCAAGGTTCTCCCTCTGTCTGTGAGCTAGGATGATATGTGAAAATAGCACAGCCTATAGAGTTTGGATTCTGGCCTACGAATATATATAATATGTATAACTTTCGGCAATTTAAAAAAATCTCTGCTCTAGCTTCCTTCTATGTGTCAAATGGGTTGATAGCTACCTCACAGGGTTGTTTCAAAGATTAGACTTCATCTTTCTGGAGGGAAAGATGTGTTTTTATCTGCTCTCATACAGCATCACTTCCTTACCCCCAAAGGTTGTGCCACTATCATCTGTCTTTTCTGCCTCCAGTTTCACCAGTGCCTGCAGTTGGTTCTTCCCACAGCTACTAAATTTGCTTCTAAAAATATTGATCTGATAATATCCAGAGTACATCACAAGTCTATTTATTTACCACTACCCTGTAAGGTGAAACCACCCTTATCTCTTGCCTGGATTAAGGTAAATTTCTAGCTGATGACCTTGCTTCTGTTCTTATTTATGATATCAAAGAGGAACTTACCTTTACAAATGTAAGTCATGCCTCTCTTCTGCTTGAAATCCTTCAATTGCTCCAAGCTCCATACCAGGCCCTACAGGACTCCATAGGATCTGGTTCCTCCTTACCTCGCTATTCTCATCTCTTGTGATTTGCACACCAGTTTATCACCCTTCATCCAGATGGGCCTTCTTTCTGTGCCACAAATACGTGCTAGCGTTGTGTGGTCTTTGCATTTTGCCTTTGCCCTGAGTAGCTCTGACCCTAGGTCTTAACATAATTCATTCTGTCTTGCTGCTTAGGTCTTGGCTCACCTATTACCTCTCTGGTAAGGGTTTTCCTGTGTACTCAGCCTGAGTTAGCAGTCCCCTCTTCCAGTTTTTATTATGTAACCTTGTTCCTTTATTTCTTTACTTGTTTCTCCTCTTACCCTCATTAAAATATGAGCCTCAACAATGAGGATCCTCCCCTCTTTTTCTTGCAGTACTGAGGATTGAACCCAGAGCCTTTTACATGCTAGGTAAGCACTCTACCATTGAGCTACACCTCTAGTCCTAGAGCCTTTTCTGTTTTGTCACTCTATCCCCAGTGCATCAGTGACCTTAATAATAGTTCTTTATTGAACAAATCATATCTCCTTCCTGATTATAATTCATTCCTAAGCAACTTGCCATTACTAAAATCATTTATCACTTTATGTACTTATATGTTTACTCATTTATTTCACAATTGATACTCATGCATCAGGAATTGTGCTACACTGTTTGAGAATATAAAGGAATAATCTTCAAGGAGTTCTCAATTCAAAAAGAGAGGCAGGAAAACAGATATTTTTTCTGTGATGTGTGCAGGCTGGCTCGGGAGGATCGTGGAGGAGCATCTAACCCAGACTGCGAGGGTCAGGGAGTGCTTCCTGGCTAAGGCAGTGTTTAGACAGAGGCTTTACTATAAATAGTCTAGGCAAAGGGAACAATTGGGTGTGCCAGGCACATGTTTGTGCACAGATAAGAGAGTGTGGTGCTTTGGGGGAAATTCTAAGTTGTGCAGAATGGTTTTGGAATAGAAAGCCTGGTGGTAAATGGTGAATGTGAGATGGCAGACCATGTCATGGATGGCTTTATGGCCTTTTTAGGGAGCTTGAACTTAATTTTGTGGCAATTATGGAGACTGTAAGGATTGGTAAGTGTCATCATTACCTTTGTACTTGTGGAAGATCACTCTAACTGCAGCTTGTAGAGAGAATTTGTGAGGGGAGAGTAGAAGCAGTGAAACCCATTAGGACACTGTTGTAATTCTCCATGTGCAAGGTGATGAGGGTCTGAAAATAGGGAGCATGGATATAGAGGGAAGACTTAAGAGCTATTGAGTGCTCGCTTTAGCAGCACATATACTAAAAGAGCTATTGAAAAGGTAGCAGAGACAAGACTATTTTTGATCAGAATGGGAGAACGCTAGAGCAATTTATGTTTCAGGCATGGCAAACAGTTCTTGATTAAAATGGAGAACAATCAAGAGGAAGAGCAAAGTTTGGTAGAGGAAATGATTTTAGTTTTTTCACCCTTTACCTCATGCATGGCACCTCTATACTATGAAAATCTGTGCAGTTATTAAAAGGAAATGAGTTACTTCTTTTTGTTATGAGCTCCAAGTTATTTATTTAAAAAGGCGAGTTAAACCACATAGGGCTGGAGGACTTACTAGATGCTTACCTAACGTGCGTGAGGTTTGATCCCTAGCACTGCAAAAACAAATACAGAAAACCCCAAAACCCACACATACGTAATATCAATTCATATTTTTAAATTATATGTAGACATATGCAAGTACATAGGAAAAAATTAGAAAATACATTAAAACTGTTAAAAGTAGCTTTCTCATTATTCATTCATTAAATTTTTTTCAGTACTGGGGATAGAGCATAGGGGCATTCTACGACTGACCTACAAGCTATATCTTCATCCCTTTTTATTTTTCTATTTTGAAACAGGATCTCACAAAGTGGCCTCACACTGGCAATCCTCCTGCTTCAGCCTCCCGAGTATGTGAGGCCACAGGTGTGAGCCACCACTTCTGGCTCACTGAGCATTTTTTGTTTGTTTGTTTGTTTTTACTGAGTACCTACTGTATTCTACGTGCAATCACAGTGACAATATATTGGTGAGTGAAAAACAGGGTAACCCATTTGGGACCCCTCTTATCTCTCAGAAGCTATTCTTAGTCCCCATTCCTATTCCTCAACAAATTTTCCTACTCTTAACAACAACAACAACAACAACAAAACAATATTGATTTTGTCTTCATGGGTTGTATATAGTTATGAGTAGCATTTATCAACTGGAGTTCGGAGAGATTTCTTTTTTTTGGTACTGAGTATTGAACTTGGAGCCTTTGCACTCAACTACATCCTCAGTGCTTTAAATTTTTTTTTTTTTTTAATTTTGAGTCAGGGCCTTGCTAACTTACTAAGTGGTCCAGGCTGGGCATGAAGAATTCCTGCCTCAACCTTCCAAAGCATTGGAAATAATCATATAAAATATACATTTTGTTTCATTTTGTATTTTATTGAGACAGAGTCTTGCTGTGTAGTTCAGGTTGGCCTCAAACTCACTATGTAGTCCAGGCTGGCCTCGAACTTGCAGCGATCCTCCTGCCTCAGCCTCCTGAGTGCTGGAATTACAGGCATGTGCAACTATTCCTTGCCTTAAAGGGTAAATGTTAAATTGTAATTGTGATAAATACTTGAAAAGGAGAAGCACATGGTACAACTATTATAGATAGCTAAGTTAGATAGAAATTCATATACAGTCAGAGAGGGATTGTGCCCTCAAGGAAATCAGCACCAAAAAATCAGAATTGTGACTGTGACATCAGAATTGTGGCTGGAGGCACATCTGAAGAAGGCCAGGCCTCAAAATGCAGTAGCCAGGCTTGTATGCCTTCCTAAAGGGATAAACAGCAATTTGAGATTATACTGTAATTAGCACCACTGAGCCAATAAGTCCAGATAGGCATCAGACATCTAGGTGAGTGAGCAGGCCATCTGGACCAAACCCTTCCCCAAAATGCTCTTGTTCTTTCTGTGTTAGGAGCTATGGATAAGCTAAAGTTAATGATGCTAGCCATATACCCTTGCTACATGCTGCGATTCCTTATTGGATCAATATTAGCTAAACGACTATACTTTTAATCTTATTGGTTGATTGTAGTTTGACCCAGATTGTACCTCCACTGTGTTTTAGCTGTATAAATTACTCCTGACAAAGGCCCTGGGTGGGCACCTTTCTGCAAATCCAGGAGATATTCCCCTTATTTCCAATAAAATATCTTCTAACTTCCCCTTTGGTTGCAACTTCATTCCTCAATGTTGTGAGACAATGAACTCGGCACATCTGACATCTAGCAGGTTGGGAGTTATATTTTTCCTATATTATAACAAAGAGGTATGATTGCACTATTGGATTGAATGAGGAAGGGTTCCCTGAGCTCTGAAGGATAAATAGATTTAAGTAAGATGGGATAAATAGTAAGCTGGATAAATAGCACATTCAAAGACCCAGAGGCAGGAGGGAATATGGAAGATATAAAGGAGCCACAAAAGGCCAGTGCTGGAGCAAAAAGAGCAAAGGGCAGCACAGAAGAAGCACAGCAGAAGTTGAAGGTGAAAGGATAGGTAAGAGCTGGGAACTTTATGAGGTTGTGGTAGGCTTCTTTTCTTATTCTAAGGTCACTGGGACACCATAAAGGATTTTAAAACAGGGAGTGTGGTGTTTATTTACACATTTTAAAGAGATCTTAACCGCTCCTATTCAGGAGAATATCTTGGAGGTGATCAGTTTACAGTTCTTTTCAGTGGTCTAAGTGAAAGATGTCAGTAGGTTGTACCAGGGTAATGGCAGTGATAGACAAAAGTGGATAGATTCTGGAGATATTTGATAACTAGAATAACATAACTGGGTAATAGATTGGTTTTAAAGAGGATGAAGTTATCAGTGAAGTGTTTGGTGGAAGTCCTGGAAAGCCAGGCTAAATTTGTATGAATGTAATAGATAGTAGATCATGAGGAAGGGAAGGCCATACAATGTCAGTTTCATAAAGATCACGTGATGGTTGAACTTAACAAAGGTCAGTCGGGGTCCTCAGCATAGGAAATCAATTGGAGGTGAATGAGACTGTAGGCTGTCACAATGATGCAGGAGACATGATTAAGGCTAAACTAAACCAAGGCATTCCCAGTAGGAATGGAGAGAGGCTGAGAAGATAAAACACTCATTGGAGGATGGGAGAATAGGTAATAGAATCTGGAGGCTGTTTGGTTTTTGGGACAAAGTAGGAAGAGTGAAGAGGACTAAGAGCAATCTTTTCCTTCTTTCTACTGGTTTATGTCTCTCTCCAATAACATCAAACCCCATTAAGAGTTAAATGCTTACCTGTGTCTGGGGCAGCACTGGGCCTTGTTGTGGTAGAAGAAGCCCTGGGAGCGAGTATGGTTCTGTTGCTGCCACTGACAGGTAACATTCTTCAAGTCCAAGGTAAAACATTGCAATCCAATTGCCACTGAGGTAAAGAAGTAAGTCCCAACAGGGCCATGTGCCCCTACACTACAGAGAATCCAGATCATCTTTATATACAGAGTATTTACAACTATTCTTTCTTCTCTTCCTGAACATAGTTTGTCCCATGTAATGGCAAATTTGAGGTCACCAGAAAGGACCATGGTTCCCAGAGCTTCCAAATCCAGCCTAAGCCTCATTAGAGATTTTTAAAAATCTCTTCTCTATCTCCTCAGCTCCTTCACTGACTCACCTGCATCCCCAGGCAGGTCCACGGTCACAGGAAGGGACCAGGATCCCCAGGAGCCACTGAAAGAGATTCCATCTGGCTGGCTGCGCAGCTGGAGCCAGTAAGAATTGCCAGCCTGGAGCCCAGAAATGAGGCAGCTTCCACCCATCACAGGCAGAGAGGGAGCCTTGGGAGAAAAGTTCCAGTGTCAGAATCTAGGCCCACCTTCTAGCTAAGACTGCCTCTGCCTCTCACGGTTGGAGCCCTGTGGCCCCTCTGTGCAGTGGTCAGTTCCTTACTTGACACACACACAGACTGAGGGCCAGGTGAGTGGGTATGAGATGGTGTTCAGGGCTTTTTAGGGAAATCTCCATCAATTTGGAGGCCTGAAGCCCTCGTTTTGTCAGTGTGAGTGACTGGAAGTGAGAGATCCTTAAATGGATATGGTTCCTGAGGGCTGACCAGAGGCTGCCCTAATTTGCTAAGGACCAACTCCACCTAGAATCTCCAAAGTATGGCCTGTGGTTTCCTGGGGCAAAATCCAGGGTAAGGGGTAGAAGGTAGAGCAGAACAAGGCTAGAATACTTCTCCAGTTGGGGAAGTGTGCCTTGGTCCATCCCGTTGGGGTGCTGTGGGTTGAACACACGGAGGCTGGTCCAGAGCAGAGACTGGGTTTGGCCTCCGCAGAGTAGGGCAGCAGGTCTCTGTGGGGAGCAGCTGCATGACTCGGGCCCCAGTGGCGTTCCTGGGGTCCACAGGGCCATAACGGAGTTCGTGCCTCAGGAAATCACTGATTTCAGGAGCTGGAGCCTCCCAGAGGATCTGAAGTTCCCCTGGCTGGCTCCCGCTTGCAGCCTTGATGATACTGGGGGGAGCTGGCAGACCTGAGGGCAAGACAGGGCCCATTGGAACTCAGACTGTGATTCAGCCTGTGGATTGCTGAGGAGGGTGCTGGAGACTGAATTGGGGCAGCCTGTGGGATCAAAAAGATCATACACTGGAGGTGGGGCAGGGTAGGAAGGCTTTGTATGTATCCTGTTCTTTCCTCGAGAGACCAGTGACCATCCTATAGTGTGAAGGTTTGTTAGACCCTGTGCTCCTTGCAGGCAGGGACCCCTTTTCATTTCTATGTCCTTATCACCTGTTACAGCACCTGGTGCACAGTAGGTATTCTGTAACTATAGAATGTGTGAATAAAAGAAAAAGTGGTATGGGAGAACTAGGGGGTCTCCGGTGTGAAATGATTTGGTGTGAAGTGGTGGGATGAGTCTAGCTCTGGATGGGGAGTCTGGGAGGGATGATAGGGGGTCTTGAGATGCCTCTGGGGGTCTGACAATGGGGAGGCACTCATGTTGTCTGAAAGATGGCAGACAGGTCTGATTCCAGGCACTGGACTGCAGGCCTCAGCTGGAGGGGGTAGAGTGACAGAGACGCCCTTACCCACAGTATCCACAGACAGCACCCACTCAGTCAGAGTCTGGTTCAGGAACACATTCTTCACCCAGAGGTGCAGCTCAGAGAAGAGGCGTACTTCATCCTGGCCTGGAAACTGGCACATGTATCGGGTTCCATAGCGGGGCACACTCTGGGAACTCAGGGGGCAGGCACGGGGCTTCTCTCTGTTGACACAGGAGACATCCTACCTACACAGCCACCATGTTCAGCCCTGAGGACCCTGGCTTGGGCCCATTCCCAACTTCTGTTTCCATTCCTTCCATTCTTCTCACTGCTTGAGGTAGGTGGGATTCATGTTGTATAGGGGCTTGAGCTGGCCTGTTCATAAAGTAGCTACTTAGGGAGTGGACTTGAAATAGTCCTCCAGTAGGGCCAAATACAGGGAATCTAACAGAGTGGGACTCAGCTGAATGAAGTGCAGGGACAGATATACAGGGAGTGTGGCACAGCCCAGCACCTACCCTGAGTAGGCATATAGCAGCTGATATGTCCCACTGGGTGCTGCCTCTTCCTCATCCCAGAAGCAAGTGAGGTCCTCGAATGTTTGGGAGAAACAGTTGAGGGGCTTTGAGTCCGAGGCCAGCAAGGAGACATCTGAGGAACAGCTGGTGAGTTGGGTTCTGGGTCCTCCCAAGTATGTTTATGAGCAAGAGTAGGGGACCAGTGGGTCTACTACCCTACATCCCCTCCCAGGGATCTGCATCCCCTCCAAGGGCTCCCTCTTCCTGGGCGTAGGTGATCTCCACCCTCTACACACCTCACCTTGGCTGGTGACTTGTGCCAGGTTTTGGGGGGCCAGGAGGAGGCAGGAGGTGACCACAAAGAGGGCCCAGGAGGGCATCTTCTCCGGCACTGTGCCTGCCCTAGCCCATCCTCCCTTCAGGAAGCTGGGCCCCAATCCCCTCCCAGGCCAGCCCCTCAGGTTCCTGTCAGATACAGCCCCACGTCCTGTCCCTGTCCCTGCCCCTCTGGGGCCCATCCAGACCACACTGGGGCTAGGGCCCAGGGGAGGGGGAGTGGGCTGGAGGGCAGGAGGGATTTGAAAGAGAAGACGTTGGCCTTTTGGTGGGAGGGAGTTGGGGGGATATATATTTGTACACCAAAAAGAGCCTGTGTTAACTATTATAGTAGGGCATACTGTCACCAAGGAGGGCAACATTTACTGCCATGTGTTAAAAGCCCTTTGTACCTGTTGCCTCAGTCCTCAAAATAGCCTTATTATCCTATTATAAAGATGAGAAAACTAAGGTGCTGAGATGTTAAAGATTTTCTGAGGATCACATATCTCCTAAAGGTAAAGCTCTGGAGGTCAGCCTTGGAACCCAAGTGCTTAAAGGCCATGCTATGCTCCTGGAAGGTGAAATCTGCCAAGAAATGACTGCCTCACAACCGTCGCAGATGCTGGGTATTGCCACTGTCAGGAGCTCTTGGACTTTGTGCAGAAATAAACACATGTCTTGCCATTGTGGGTGGCCTCCCCAGTGGCCCTTGGTTGACCTTCTAAAAGTGTCTGTAGACAGCAGTCACAGAGAACAGGAGCTTGCTAGAAATGCAGAATTCCAGCTGGATGTGGTAGCACATGCCTGTAGTCCCTGCACTTGAGAGGCTGAGGCAGGAGGCTCAGGAATGTAAGCCCAGCTGGGGCTACCTAGGAAGACTGTCTCAAAAAGCCAAAAACCAACAAACAGAAAGAAAAAGAAATGCAGACTCCTAGGCCCCACCCTAGACCTACTGAAACAGAACCTACATTTACTAAAATGCCCAAATGATTCCATTACACATTAAATTTTGAAAAGTACTTCTCTTCAGTACTTCTACCTGGCTTGCTCAGTCAGGGGTTCCTGGCTGCAGATCTTCTGTGTGTGCCTGTCTTCTTCATGTTAGTAGCAAAGCAGAGGATATGACCTTTTCGTGGAAACCAGGTCTCCCTCCAAGTGTGCTGAACTACAGGTGGCTTCTGTACCAATTCTTGGAGCTCTGACTCTTGTGGGTGCAGGGAGGAGTGGGTTTGGGGGAGGAGCATGAGCAGCCACATGAACTCCACAGTTAGCCCTGTGGCATTAGCTGGGGATTTCATTGCTGGCCCTGTAGAGTAAGTGTCCTCAATAATGTCCCCTTTCTGACTTAGTTTTACTAACAGAATTTTCGAAGGTGAGGGGTGGGTAGAGGGAAGTCCTTCAGGCCTCCTGTGAAGTCTTAGTTTCTCTGACACATTTCTCTGCAAGTTGTCTCTGGGCCAAGTTCGCCCTCAGCCCTATTAGCTCTCAGGTTTACAAAGACCAATGGTACAACTTCAGATGCCCTCCCTCCAGTCCCCAGTCAAGGGCTACCGACTGTCAGATATGTGGGAGGGAGGCCCACCTTAATATTCGTGCAGCCTATGGCTTCGGAGGCTGTGTGAATGCTGACAACATCAAAATTAATATCTCCAGCAGTGACTTCTCCCCCCGGTCTCCAGATTTGGATAGCCAACTGCCTACTTGGTGTCTCCACTTATATGTGGGGTGATTCTTTTTTTTTTTTTAGACAGGATCTCACTATGTAGTACAGGCTGGCCTTGAACTCAGAGCAATCCTTCTGTCTTAGCCTCCCAAGTCCTGGGATTATAGGTATGCGCTACCACTTCTGGTCCAAACTGGGTGAGATGGCACATAACTTTAATCCTGGCTACTTGGGAGGAGGAGAATCATTTGAGGCTATGAGTTCAAGACCAGAGCCTGAGCAATAAATAATACTGAGACCCTGACTCCAGAAAAATAAAAGAAAAAAAGAAGGAAGGGAGGCAGGGACAAAAAGAAAAAAAACGTTTTTGACAGGTGGTTTTACTGTGTTGCCCAGGCTGCTCTCAAAATTTAGATCCCCCTACCTCAGCCTCCCAGGTAGCTGGGATTACAGGTATGCACCACTATGCCCTGACAAAAAACCCCCCTTGATTCTGGTTCCTACCCCTAAACCTGTGTTTCGTTTTCCTACTCTTACCCACCTCTGTAAATGACACTTCAGCTTACTCAGTTGATCAAACTGCAAACCTCAGTCCTCCTTGATTCCTATTTCTCACCCTATGTTTAATTAATTAGCAAGCCCTTTCAGGTCTTCCCTCAAAACTGTACCCTGAATCTGAGCACTTTTTACCCCTCCACTCCTACCATCCATGACCGGTTACTGCAATAGCTTCCTAACTAGCATCTCTCTCCTGAGTGTCTCTCTTGTTTCATCACACGATACTCTGTGGTTCTCTTGTCCCCACTCTCTGGAAGAGAAAACTGAAGCTTAGAAGGAGTAGGTGAGTTGTTCAAAGCCATTGCTAAGGGGTAGAGCTGATATTTGAATTCAGGTCTATCTGACACCAAAGCCTGTTCTGTTTTGTGTTATTTTTGAAATGGAGTCTTTCTGTGTTGCCCAACCTGGCCTCAAACTCCTAGAGTCAAGTGATCCTCCTGCTTCAGACTCCCAAGTAGCTAAGACTAAGAGTGCACCACAATGCCCAGCTAAATCCTCTTTTTTTAATCTCTACATGGACACCTATAACTAGGACCATGTTGTAGCTATTTCCTCCACTTTGTTCATTCATTTAACATTATGTATCTAGCACCAGGCCTGGTATGAGTCTCTCCCAAGTGTGAGGCTGAGTCCAAAACAGCCATCAGGAGGGGTGTCATGCAAGTCAATGAGAAAAGGACTAGTAGTTGCCAGCAGCAAACCCAAGGGAGAGAGCTTCAGGGGCCCAATTCGGTCAGCCATATGCCCCCTGTCCTCTCCCCTCCACGAGACATCCCAGCCCCTGAGCTGCCCAAACTTAGGCTGCTGGCTCTTCTCATAGCCTTCAACCCACGGCCTGCTGCTGAAAGAGGGCTGGCTTCTGGTTTGCTCCAGAAAGGGCCTGGGATGAGATAAGACGATGGACAGCCCCTAGGAGGAGCCTGAGTTGCCCAGAGGGCCCTGCAGGAAATCACCCCTTCCTTGGGGGTGGGAGGGTAATGAATGACTCAGGGCTGCCGGGTGGGAGTTCCCTTTTTGATGCCAACATGGGGTGAGGTGAGGCCCTTTCGACAAAGAGCCCAACGTGGTTTGCCTTTCCCAGCTGCCTGCCGCAGGAGGCTTTCCTGTGGCTTTTCCCATCACTTCTCTGGAAACAAGTTTGTGCTGCTGGGCTGGTCTCTTGCTCCAACCCTGCCCAACCCAGGCTTTCTCCTGTGAGAATAGAGTGAAGCTAGAATGGGGTGGGCCAGGTGAGGCTGACAATTTATGACTGCTCTGAGCCTGTAGAGGCAGTCCTGGGTTCTTAGGGTGTCACAATGGGAATATGGAGGCTCTTTTGTTGGGGAGGGGGTTCCTTTGAGGCACCATTAGCACATACACAGTGCGTGGTCAATGCTATTTGTGTTGAATTTGGAAGTGTACTGTGCAAATCTAGCCCTTTGCCACTGTGGTGGAGAAGCAACATACTAGCGTGCTTAAGAGGGAGACTTTGGAGCCAGAATATGTCAGTTTGATTTGTTTTGTTTTTGGTTTTTTGAGACAGGGTCTCACTATGCAGTCCAAACTGGCCTCAAACACACAGCAATCTGCCTGCCTCAGCCTCTACAGAGCTGGGATTATAGGTGTGCACCACCACACCTGGCAGAATATGTAGGTTTTTTTTTTTTTTGGTACTGGGGATTGAATTTGGGACCTTGCGCTTGCGAGGCAGGCGGTGGAACCACTGAGCTAAATCCCCAGCCCTCAGAATATGTAGGTTTGAATACCAGCCCCACCACTTAGTAGCTGTCAGACTTTAGCTAAGTCACTGAACCCCTCGAGCATTTCTCTTTTGTAAAACAAAACAAAAAAAATACCTACTTAACAGTTGTTGAAGATCGAATTAATACATGCAAAGTGCTTGGGAAAGTGCCTGGCATTTAAGCACCATGTACATGTTAGCTGTTGTTATTGTTCTAGTGACCAGCATCAATCCAGTTATACAAACAGACACTTGGCAGTAATCCTGGGCTCTTCTCTCTCCTTTCACTCCCGTGCCCAACCCCTGCCCATTCTTTTTCCTGAGTTTTTCTTCCAGATCACTACACCTCACCGGCATGGCACTTGTGCTTCTGGAGTAGACTTATACTCCTGGAGCAGTCTGGCACTGATTCTTTTACCTCCACTCATTTTTTTTTTTAGTACCGGGATCAAACTCAGGACCTTGCGCTTGCGAGGCAGGCAAGGTGCCCCTGAGCTAAATCCCCAGCCCACCTCCACTCATTTTTAAAAAACAGCTTCACTGAGATGTAATTCACATACTATACAGTTCTCCCATTTAGGGTACATAAAATTGAATGATTTTTTAATCTATTTACAGATATGTGTGACCACAGTCAATTTTAGATCATTTAAAGAAAAACCCACCTCAAAAAGAAATCCTGCATCATTTAGTATTCAGCCTGTTGTTCCCTCAACTTCCTCCCAGCCTTAAGCTACCACTAGTCTGCTATCCTTATATGTACCCCTATTACTGAACTTTCATATAAATGAAACACAAATATATGTAGTTTTTTGTTACTGGCTTCTTTCACTTGGTATGATATTGTCAATGTTCATCCATGGTATAGTATAATGGAATGAATATATGGCTGAATAATATATGAAGTAATGGCTGAATAATATTCCATTGTATGGAGATATGTTATTTAATTTATCTATTCTTTGATGGACATTTGGATTATTTCCACTTCTTGGCTATTATGAAAAATGCTGCTATATATATCTGTGTACAAGTTTTTGTGTGAACATATGTTTTCACTTCTCTTGGGTGTACACCTAGGAGTGGAATTGCTGGCTCTTATAGGAACTCCATGTTCTCTT